TGGCTTGACCTTTACCAGTTGTCTTGGCTACGCCTTTACCAGTTGTCTTGGCTACGCCTTTACCAGTTGTCTTGGCTTGACCTTTACCAGTTGTCTTGGCTTGACCTTTACCAGTTGTCTTGGCTTGACCTTTACCAGTTGTCTTGGCTACGCCTTTACCAGTTGTCTTGGCTACGCCTTTACCAGTTGTCTTGGCTCCACCTTTACCAGTTGTCTTGGCTACGCCTTTTCCAGTTGTCTTGGCTCCACCTTTAGCTTTACCAGTTGTAAGGTGGATATTTGGTATAATTTTGGCAGTTGTTTTGGCTCCACCTTTAGCTTTACCAGTTGTAAGGTGGATATTTGGTATAACCTTGGCAGTTGTATGTTTGCCAATTGGGTTTGCGGTGGCGAGTCTTACATTATTGATGTGTTGGGTAGTATGGACATCGTTAAGATGGTTTAATCCTTTACCTTTAGAGTTGCCGTGGCTATTATTTGGTAAATTGTAATTTTTACCTTTGCCTTTGGCGGATTGAGAGTCTACGGCTTGTGGAGGACCGTGTGGAGGATTATTTTCCTCCTCAGGAGGGTTATAGTCGGTATCTGTTGCTGAGGTGAAGGTGACCACCGCTAATAATAGCGAAACGGTCACCGCTAATGATGGTAACCTCATTATAAAGGTAAAAGGGTGGTATCGGATTTAATGATAGTAAATTATTCTTGTGAGGTTGGGTTAAGGACAGAACGAAGAAAGGAGGAGTGGAATTTGAAGGTTTTATAACAATTTTCGAACATATTAACAATATATAAAATAGATATAATTTATACAATAATAAATAAATGAACGAATTGATTAATGTGTAATTTTTAAGATAGCACTGTTTATATTACTGTTTTTAACACAAAAAATTATGAACGCGTGAAGGCACATATTTTGACAAGGAATGATATTTTTCATATATTTTAGAGTAATAATTTTGCACAAAATTAATTATATTTGCACTTTTAACGACGTGTAACATAAACAAAATATAACCTTACCAATTAGAGACAACATTTGGACCGAGTTTTCAATTACTTTGAAAATACAAAGGGAACATAATGCTACATTGACAAATTGCTAATAATTTATATTGTTCCACATGGTTCGATACGTACAAGTTCGTTTAAATATTAGAAAAATTGGAAATTTACCATTGTACTTGTAGTATGAAAAGTTTTCCGGGATATGCAAGTATATAACCTAGCATACATGTACATGTGTTACCAAAAATCAACAAGAATTAACTTGTTATCCATAATTTCAAATATACCATAAGAACGTGGATAAGATTTTTTTTTTGTCCTAGATAATCATAAATCGAAAGTGGCAATAACAAGTTTGATATTACGGTAAGAAAGAATTATTTAGATTGAATACTTTTTACGTATTAATTACAATATTTACTGTATGACAAATTTAATTATAACGAGTGTTATAATTAATTAATTAATTAATTAATTAATTTAATTAATTATTTGTTCTTGGTGGGTGGTTTTTTTAAAAAAACCATTTACAAGACTTTATTAATATTTACGTATCAATATTTACTACGTATAGCAACATGGTTTATATACAATCGATCTAGCAGCTAGGTGATTTTAGTGTGAACCTTTATAGAAGTAAATCTTTCTCTAAATAGAATTCTTAACAGATGTCTTACCAGTTATACGTACTAACAGAAATCTAGACTTTATTTTTGCTGTAGTAATGTTAAGATTATTATATAATACAACTCTGTTAACAGACATCTTAACGTATATGTAAACATTGTAGCAATGCCAAGATTATATGTATTTTCTGCATTTCCTGCATACTCTTTCCTAAGTCTTTTAAAGCTAAAACCATTATTTAAAGTTTATAAACATTGTAATTTGCCAAGGTCATTAAAGAGTTTAGTTGATAATTTAATTGTCTGCAAACTGCAACGAAAATCATTAAATTTCATAATTAAATTTTAGCACGTTCTTATTTTTCCGTTACGCATTTGTTTAATGTTTCATATTCTGATTGACAATGTGATATTAATTCTCATTAGCGTTAGATCATTTACATGACTACGCGTTAGATCATTTACATTACTTAGCATAAAGAGTAAAATAAATTGAGAGTTTAATAATTAAGCCAGTGGAAATAAGTGAAATTCAAATTAGATTTTAACAATTATATATAGTGAAAAAAGGTTCGCAACTATAATTTGCAGAGGAGTTTATGTTCACTTAAATGGAATGCTATGCTATCATACTTGACTTCTATTATACATATATGCTATCATACTTGATTTCTATTATACATATATGCTATCATACTTGACTTCTATTATACATATATGCTATCGCATATAACCACATAACGGAACTCAAAGAAAAAGGTTATCACGTTAAATTTTGTGACGTATGTCTTTTGTTTTATCACAAATCATATAAATCAATAATTTCTAATCAGCTTTGGAACTTTCATATGAAGTAATAGCCAATTGGAAAATTTAATTATAATTATGAAATGTAAGACTTTATTGACTTAAAAGGTACTCAAGGATATGACATTTTTCAATGATTTAAAAATCTATGGATTTGAATTTTATTGTGTTGTCGTTACGTATTTTGAAATATCAATCATATTGGAATCCGTTATGCAGTGTAAACATTATTACAATACGGCATGTTGTTTAGTAATTCTGCATAGATTTTTCTATTAATTTTATGATTGGTTTAGAATGTACTAATATCATGTCTTGGCACAAACACTGCATTAATTCCACTCATTTATTGAATTCGATCCACAATGCTACACAGAATGTCCAAACAACCGATTTCCTAAATACAAAATATGTGAAAAAATTAGAGGCTGAGTTATCATCGTAGAATCAGTAGCTATAAAGAGAAGTATAGACTATTATGTGTAAATTTGCATACGTATTATTATCATATTATTATCATCATCGTTAGAGCAACAATTTCAATTTGAACACTTGCTTTATCTTTCGTACTTTCGAGCTGCTCCAAAATTTGTATTTTTGATTTGTTGCACACCTTCATGGAACTTGTAATTGTTAGATGCAATGCCAAGTAAATGATTATATATATGTTGGTTCCGTCTTGCAGGCAAATTTTAATAATAAACATAAAAACGCCTCTTTCAATTACCAAAATTACAAAACCTATTTAAAAAATTTTTACAATTATTCTTTTCTTCGAAAATGCATCGGTGTAACCATATGGAATTTATGATCATGTGACTCATCTAATAGCTGTCGATTAATCCAATTTCAGGTAGCAAAGAATCCTAAAAATTAAAAACATTGGACCGAATCCGAGTTTAACAAAGTTATGTTTGTCGATTATTATATTTATAGAAATCCCTGAACCCAAGCACAGATCATGGGTATGTAACATTAGATTAATCGATCTTTACTGTTTGTAAACTGAATTTTATTGTCGTGTAACAGCAAGTTCGTTTTTTCCTGTAGCAATAGATCAGTAGATTGTGCATGGATTGTAATTGAATTTACAAATTAGAATTTACATATAAATATCGATGTGCTACATGCCACTAAAATAACTGTTCCAATGTCAGTCCACATATTGTATGTAGTACGTACGTCCTAAATAATAATTTATAAAAAAAAAAAATTCTTTTTTTATCTTTAATTCTGTTACAAGTTAAATGAATAAGCTGATTCGAAACTTTAAATTCTTATTATTATTACTTTAATAATGCTGTGACCTAAAAGTAGCCGGCTAAGGCCAGCCAATCTGATATGGTTGTCTAATTTGGTAAAAGACCACAGTATAAGATTACTGTATTAACAACATAAACGATAATGATAAATGAATATGATGAGTTAAATTTTTACAAAGTTCACAGTATCAGATTACTAACAGCATAAACGATAGCGATAAATGAATACTGTCGAATTAAATTTTTGGTAATGTTCCAAAAGATTCTGTAAAATGGGCAACATAACTGAATTTTAGTTTACTAGTTCAGTAGTTCAGTAGTTTAGCTAGCTAACAAAACCATGTGGGTTGAAAAACTACCTATAAGATTTTAAGGATTTTAAGAGTCATGTGACACTTGACTTTGCCCATGTTCCCGAAGTACGTATTAGTACCGCAAAACTTTCATTTTTACATCTACTTTTTTTAAGTGTCTTTACCTTTTTGATACTAATATCACGTGCTAATCAACAAGAAATTTTTTGACAAAATTTTGTTTATACAATGAATATTAAGTAACATAATCGATACTTTTTTTTAAAAAAAACCGTTACCCTACCCATATTTGTAACACTGATGGGACGCTATTTGAAATTTCCATTTTTTGACGCATAATACGTAACACGGATGGGATGCTATTTTGAATTTTCCATTTTTTGAAAATTATATATTTGTATATTTGTTACCTAAATGTATTATGTTCGGAATAAAAGTGAGTTGAAATATCACACATGTGCGTCCCTAAATTACGCACAGATGTGTATTATTAATTTATTTTATCATTCGTTTAATAAATTATTTGATAAACGTTCGAGTTTGCATAATATCCACGTACGTACTTGATTTTCTTTTTAAAAACAACATAATTGTCACTAGCGATGTTTTGATCAGACATAGTGCTCCTAAGTATTGAATTAATTCGAACCCAAGATCCTCGATAGCAATGCGGTCAAATTAGATAATTATAAAATTATTATAACGCTACTTCTTTTTATAAAATAAGTTTTTAATGATCGAATTATCGTAATTTATTGTATTTATAATGAATTAAAGCTTTTTTTTTTCCGTATCGCATTATAATTACAACAAATTACGGCATTGCACTTACACTTTTAGTTATGAAGTAAATAACAAATAATATGCAAATCTATAGATGAGTGCTCGAGAGCGAAAAGGTGCAGGTTCATAAAATATTGTGCAATTTTGACCAATCAAATGTCAAGATCTGTCTGATCTTGAAATTTGATTGGTTAATATTTTGTGGGTCAAATATTTACTTTCACCTTTTCGCTCTCGAGCACTCAGATATCAAAATATAACCAGATTCTACCCGGGTTGAATGCCCTTTCGAAGCACTAGTCAGACATTTGTACGATTGGCTGATGTAAATTAGAAAAATGGCTACGTTTTGGTATAGTATTTAAATTTTATAAATTGCTATAAAATTACATTTAAGACCGTTGTAAAAGGTGGAACTGCTCGGGAATCTAGATATCACAAATATACACTCCAGCACGACACTGTTACTAACTAAACTACTCTAACCAAGCCCTAATAATACTAATGCTTCGATTGAGGCGCGGAATGATTTGTTCCGAGTAATTAAGGTCAATTATAGCTCCACGAGTCTCTTAATATTGTTCACGGGTTTAGTCACTAATTCCTATCATATTGTAACGAATAATTAATTTGGTCACATTCTTAGTGGCGTAACCGCATATACGTAAAAAATATCACGTAAACACTAAGATCTCGTCGTAATCACTAAGATCTCATCGTAAACACTAAAAATATAGCGTAGACGATTTAATTATAACGTAAACCCTCTGTAAATTAGAATATATATAAAAGGTTGCTTTTTCCTTTCGTTCATAATTCAATGTACGCTCTCTAAATTTCTCATAAAATAAAGAA